AATGAGACTAAGAGTGAGAGAGAGAACGCTGAGCAAAAACAACAACGGAAATATTAATTATATTCCTGACATTGTTAAGTTTGTAACGTTAAGTGCTCACCATTTGACCAATAAACACTAAACAATCCAGAGACTCTTGGCAAAATCTTGTGGTGTACAAACCGAAACGGTCCGAGTAAGAGAAGGGTTCGTTTGTATTTTGTTTTGCACAATTTTAAAGGAATTTTTCATTGTTGGACTTGTTTTTATCGGGTGGAGATTTCAAAATTTTAAGTATAAGCATAAACGTTTGGTAAAAAATTGCATGCAACTTCCCTCTCTTTTTCTACATTTCTTTTTTTGAACGTGTGTTTGTTGTAATCGCATAAATGAACTATATTTCTTTTAAATTTATGGTATTTATTTCTGGAGATAAGGCGTAAAATGGCTACGCACTCTTAGTAATCGCGTAATGGATCCGATTTTTTTTATCATCATTTCTGCTTCGATTTTCTTTTGTCTCTTTCTGACCGTTCCGCATTGTTTTGCTTTTGCAATGGTTACATAGGGCAATAACGAAACCGAATGATTTGTCGCATGGGACCGATTTGTAAAATGTTGGAAACGGAAATGATTTTATCTCAACGGCATCAATATCCTTTATTGAGAACTTCATTTGACTGGTGGATTTAGTCGGCATTGCAAAACAGAAGAATGAGAACGACCGAAAGAAATGGAGAGACGAAAAGATTAAGAGGAAAGCATTGCTTTCTTACTCAATGGAATCAGTCATATTTTCTTCTTGTCAAACAGAGGGTTTGTGCTATTCTATCAAAAAAAGGGCATGAGATAAAACTTCGATATCTTGCCGAAGCTTACTTTTTAAATCAAAACATTTGCATACAATGACTAATCATGTTAAAATATAACTTTATCTTAACTGATACCAATTTAAATTCAAATTTTCATGTAAAACTACATCTTTATTGACGGATAAAATAGTCCAATACCAAGCAGGCTACTCTTTTTTCATGCATGCAAAATGATTGAGCATCGGTTTCCGATTTCGATCATTCACTTGAACATACAATGCGGCCTTTTTTTCTATGTAATTGAGGGCTGAAACAATTTCGGCCGTCGAATAAAATAAAATTCAGTCAAATGAGAACATATAAGATTATGAAGCTATCCCAGAAAAAGGTAGAATAGTTTTTGTGTGAAAATGCGCAATGAAGTAGAACATAAAACTATGTCAAAAGTGATGCTATTTAATTCATTTTTTTTCCCATCCGCCACTTTTGTCCGATCGAAATAATACAAATCGAAAAAAGGAAGAAAACATGTTAAAAATTCATCAAGTGCTTTTTGGCAGAAAACACTAGGGCTTTTAATTAGAATCGTTTGAGCTGTTTTCAGCCACATATTTCAACTGAATAGTTTGCTTATGAGCAAATTAACATCTGTTGCGCAGTTGATTCCACACAAAAAAGATTTATGTAATTTTTTGCGATTCATGTCCATAATAAATAGTTCATGTCAAACGATATTTCCGGTTTATTTTTGGTGTAAATATTTCTAATTTTCTAATGCACTTATTTTAAAGGTTGGGGGTTATTCTTTTTACAGTGCATCACTGTGATGCAAATTGCTGAAACCAAGAACAATGCAATGGAAACCGCATACTTTTAGCGTGCTATAATTTCAAATGGCTTATTCGTAGAATTTGATATTATATCGAACAAAGCACAAGCTCCGCGGCTATATTTGGTTCTTCTGATGGTATTTCTTCTACTCTTAGTTCAAATAATCAATTCTGTCCACTGATAATTACATCTATGAAAACCAATTTATTTGTCGTGGTTTGTAACAAAGAAATCGTTGAACGGCGCCTCTTTCCGCATTACGGATGTATCGTCGTAGTTTTCATTAGAAAAACAAGTAGTAATTTTAATGAATTATTCGAGAATGTAAATCGACGTAAAAAAACTAAACCGCTCGTTCAAATATATGCAACATTTATTGAGCAGACGCAAAGCAAGCGTTCAGTCAAATTAAAAAAATTATCGGAACACAATGTGGTATGCACTTTTTGTATGCCACAAGCAACAATGTCAATACAATGTACAAATAAAGAACAATTCCAAAAAATGGAAATAGTTTTCAATAATATAACAGTAGAAAAATCTGTCACATTCAGAAAAAAAGCAACATAGAGGACGAATGCAGCATAGATATTTGATCAATTGTTTTTATTTTATAAAAGTTTTTGTATGTCACAATTATAAACGATTGCAAAAAAAGGAATTGGCCATATTTTTCGATTTATTCATTGGCAGAACGAGCATACGTTGAATAAGACACAACAGATGGACAACAACGTTATTTCATTAGCAAAAAGATAAATTAGCCAATTTATAAAATTGCATCGAACGTACGAACGTCAACCACCATTGGATTGGTTCTGGACTCTCTCACACTTGCACAGAGATATCAGCTTTAGTTCTCTCTCTTTCTCTCAATCTTTCTTGTTCATTCATGCTGGCCTGTTTGAGAGGCCATTTAAAAAAACACTCCAACCAAAAATCCTATATCCTTTTTTTCTGTTGATAATTTTTATTTGCAAATCGCATCGTATTTGGCATCAAAAGCGATAAAGCCAACAGAACCGAAAGGTCAAATAAAATCCCTTCTTTATATACATTTCAGCTTTAAATTTGCAATTGAAACCGCATTCATTTGTACTGCATTTTTATTCAATGGAAAACCTCAACTAAACTAGTTTCGCGCGCGTTCTCTCTCCGCCTCTTTCTCACCCTTTTCGGACTAAATAGATGGATGCGGTTTTGATGGTTTTATGCCATTTTTGTTTGGATACCGATATAAATACATATATATCGATGTGCATTGCATTGAATTAAATGCAATTTTTTGTTTCATTGGCGCCGATCCATGACACAAATTTGCCATTTTTTAGCTATTGTTATTTTGCTCACTAGTTTTTTTGCTCTTATTTTTCAATGGCTGAAAACCAATTTCGTTTTGAAAGGGACACTACTGAAACATAAAACTTTTCATGAAATCGAAAAAAGGGCGATTTTGACTTTAATTACAACAATTTCAACTTTGCACATGTATCAATCAAGAAAAAATCCAATTCAAACAATAAATATAACAAAAAAAGAGAGAATCTGATATTGATCGGGTGCACATCGGGAAGGTTATTCGTGTATGATGAAATGTTGATAAAAATAAAATCACAAAACGACACACAATTTGTGTAAATTATATGTTTCGTAACGTTTTAACTTAAATATGTAGCAATACAAGTACTCGATAAAATGCAACAAAAAACCGATTTTCATTTTGCAAATAAGTTTTAAAAATGAAATTTGGGCAAAAATAAAAATGAATGAGAAGATATCAAGTGGAAAAGGCAATAAATATGCATATTTTGTTTCAGAACTGGAACACACAACAATTTATTGGCTTTGGGGAGAACGTGTATTGATTATTTTCCCTGTTCTCTTGCTCGTTCTCTCGCACTCCATGCTCCAATCCATTATAATAACACAGTTTAACTATTTTTTGGTTTGATGGTGTGCCGTAAAAACAACAACATTTGCAACCGTTAAAACGTTAAACCTATTGTGTATTTAAACTGAATCCAAAATCACGTGATGGCCTCTGGAGAGAAACACACTGTACAATGACTCCAACGATTTATAGAATAATAAATAGAGTTCGTGTATGTGTGTGTGTGTTGAAGATGCGTTGATCGAAATTTTTTATATCCGCTTTCGTTTCATATTCTCTCGCGCGCGCTGACTCAACGATGAAATGCAATAGAATCGCTGCACGAACCAATTGAATAATATCGCGTAATCTTTTTTCTCTGCTTGCTAAGTTAGGACACACTCGATCCCGTGATCACTATCTCACCTAAAACACTTTTGTGTGCTCCGTTTTCTCTACCGCTCTTTGGATCTAATTTTTTGAATATAAAATAAAAGTAAAGAGGGAGAAATGGCAAAATAATATTTAATTCTGGCGAATGGCGAACAATTCGGCGTCGGAAATTCAGAAAGCAGATATTTTTTACGGGTACAAATATTTCTATTTTCTGGTTTTATTCCACTATTACCTTATCGAAATGCCCTGAAATCCGAAAAAATGTCGGCGAAAAAATTTAAACGTAATTCCACCGAAGAAGAAACGAAATAACATTTTTGCAACTTTCAAAAAGACATATACAAGTGTAAAAGGGAAAATATGAATAAAATTGTTTGAAATACCATGGTCTTTTGTCGGAGAATGCAATTGTTGAATTTATATCCGTTTGAATCTTGAAGAATAGATGTGGGAAAAAAATCCACCTCGTATGAAATCGGAAGATTGTTTCTAATGTCGCACGTTTCGTCCAAAAACGAATTTCCGCTTTTATTCGTTACTACGAAACCTCTATCACACGGTGGTCGTAAAAAAATTCACGACTCCACCACTTATATAGTGCATCAGCGTTCTCTTTCTAACCTTTCAATTAAATTCGATATACGTGATTTTCGTCCATCTGCTATTTTCATGTGAATTCAAAAGATTTTATTTTCCGTTGGCAGTTTTGCGAATTGGAAAAAGTATATCGATGCCAATTTTCACCGATCTTCGCAAATAACATTCACATTCTTACCTTGTCCCATTCCACACTCACTCACAAGTTGAAATGTGAAATTACAAGATGCTTGAATAAACAAACTTTTGAAGTAGCAGCAATAAAATTCATGTTCCCGTAAACTTTAAAGGTATATGTATAGTCGTTTCCAAAAAGATCTGTGTTGTCAAACTAATACAATGAATTTCGGAACGCATTTCCATTCAAAAGTACACAAGGCTCCTTAGTTAAACGTGTCAATTTGGTTTGAATTTTGTTGAGGGTATGTTGTTTGTTCAAAATTTTGACAGTTCGCTGTAACAGATCTTATTGAAAACGACTATACAAAACTATCTGCTGATATCCAATAGCGTAGATCTCGATGAAAATTGTTTTTTTCTTTGTCTAGGCGGATCGTAAAATTATTCGATGGTTGAAAATTGCGAATTGTTATGCGCGAAATGAATTTTGAAGCGAAAACTATAGTTTTCACTTGTGGTCGCCCATTCTTGTTTAACTTGATGTTAGTTGACACCGGTGAACTCAAACGCAAATTTAATAGTTTTGCATGGGTAAATTTACTTTTATACATATGAATGTTTCAAAAAAGTTAAATTTCTGCCATTAGAACGTATCGTCTGTGATTTCAACACCACATTTTGATTTCTCAGCTTTCAACATCACATTTCATTTTGGGTTAACTAAGAAAAGCAAATATCCAAGTAATTGTTTGTGAAGGACTCATACAAAATGAATGAAATTTCATTCTGTCACATCATAAATTTGCTTAAGCGTTAAAGAAGATCATGTAAAAGCTAATAAACAAACAAAGTTTTTCGATGCCATTTTAAAATGAAATCGAAACCCGAATTCCGTACACGAACATAAATTAGCATTCGAGCACATATTTTAGCCGACGAAATTTTCAGCCAATGAAAAGTTTATTGTGCGTGAGGTTTCATTAAAATCACTTAAACTTGAACCATCTCCAGTCATCACAATCCGATAAAGTGCACAGATAATGTATGACAGCTTATGCGAAAAACGTTTCTTAGATGTGATAGTTAAGTTGCTCGGGAAGACATCATAAAATAGTATATATGCAATACACACACAGTTATACAATAAAAGTACATATTCCCTCGATTAATATTCCACTTGATTGTTAAATACCATTTTAAATGACTGGCTTTTAAGATGCGCGTCAAATAGAACGCGGGTCAGATTAATACACTTAGTATTCAGTCTTGAGATACTTTCTCTCCGCCCTTTCCATTCCTGCGTCTGTTTCATTTCACACATAATTTGAATAGATTGCTGCAAATATATACATTAACTCCATTTGACACGCATAAGGCGAGATTCTCTTTCGATAACGTTTCAGTGGCAAGTTTTTTTTTTGATTTCGGTAACTTTAGCCGAAGAATAATTATAAAGAATAATAAAAATTAATGACTGGCTGTAAAATTCCTTCTGACGCACCAAAACTGAACGAAATAACATTTTGCAAATTGACGATATATTCTCCGGACACGACGCGCCACCGAAAAGAAAGATTGACATTTTGAAATGAAATGGGCATATTTGATAGGCACTGCGTGATGGGCGACTATGATGTCATCGCTTTAAAAAATAAAGCTCCTGCCACACTGGAAAGAACGGGCCTTTGTAACATTTTTTTTGCTGAAATATCAAAAAATAAAATGTTTAAGATTAATTAATTTTTATTCGTTCGTAACGGCATACACCCTTTCATCCGAATTAGAGTATCTAAATATTTGTGCCTTACTTAATTTTTTGTATGACATGCCTGTGTGGGCCACAATTCACTTAAAGCAATCGACTTCCGAGAATCGTCTCTCACTCGAATCATTTCACTCGTTTATGGCACATACGCACATTCTATCGGTTGATCCTATCACATACAAAAATTTCATTCCTTTTCATTTCGCAATTGTTATTTTAATTCTTTTCCTTTGTTGTGACTAATTCACAACATAAAATGTAAATAGTATTGTGTAATGTACTGTTGATGTTGCCGCTACCGCTGTCGCTCTTTCACTTACACAACGTATTTTTGTCAACGCAACAAAGTGCAAACAAAACTGAAAAATGTTCGCTTTACGCATTCAAATCCACCGAATAAATGTTAATGGTTTGTCAGTTGTCATTGTTGTTGTTTTCGTTTGTGAAAAATTTGTTTTAATTACAAGTCGGTGGCAACACAGCCACGTGCTGTGTACGCGCCTTTTTCACTGTCGTTGGTTTGTTAATGTATGCATTGCTTTTTTGAAATTGCGTATGTGCTTGTGACTTTTATTTTTGATGTTTTGTCGTTAAGAGAATAACAGGATAAAAAACGGACACCCACACAAAGAGAGCGAATGGAAAAAAAGAGATGAACGGCTTGTTGACACAAACAGCCCTTTCGACCGAAAACCGTTTTTTTTTTAATGAAAGAATGAATGAACAAAGAGCCGCTGCATTGTATTGTTGTACAGCACTGTACGGCACAGTCGGTGTCATTTCACAAAGCCAACGAAATACGCATTGAATCGTAATAATAGTTGAGACAAGAAGAATGAGAGAATGACTGGCACGAGATTGTTGACGACGACAACAACAGCAACATAAGTAATGCTGTCTCGTATCCTTTTTGTCATCGGGAATTAAAGCTCCAAATGACTTATAACTCCTGCTTTTGGCATCACGACGCGTGTACATATTCCACATTTTTGCCATATGTATTCATTTTTGCATCATCACTCAGCACTCCTAATGTGTTGTCATACAAAAGGATATTTTTTGTTTGTTTGTTTTGGCTTTTGTCTCTTTCTGTCTCGCAAAATACTTTTCTCACTTCACTAGTTTGTATAGTTATCCTTTCATCCAATTTTTTTTCTGACGTTGACTTGTGTATGGAATTACATTTCGTCGGGAAATTATTCATACGCGCTCTAATTGTACAAATTTTTACTCGTTTGTCTACCTTTTTTGTTTGTTCGAAAACTCTCAAAGGGTGAGAGAAATTGAATGCATTTTACTTTGGATTTATTTTGTATATTATAAATATACGATAAATAATATAGCAACATACATCAAATGAATCACTTTGTGAACACATTATGGTCACAATAAAATACAGCTAAATATGTATAATACGTATAATATGTTGTGATTCACAACTTGTGAATAATATTCCATATTTTTTTGTCGTTCTAGAGCCAAATCCATTAAAATTTACGACCACGCTTTTTATTATTAGCATACATAATATGTTGATAAAGTGCAAGGGTGTCGTTTGAATGTCACGGACAATCCCACTGTCAAAATGCATTGCAAATTATCGTTGTACACACGAACGAGCATACGCCAAAACCATATAATACTCAAGAAAGTACACGGCTCGGGCAAAGCGATTCAACGAAACGAAATCAATGGCACGTGTGTATGTGCGAATGGCAAAAGGACGAGACTCAATTTGCTTCATTGCTTAATTTTTCCACCTTCTCGTGTTTCACTCTTATGAATCACCCACATATTTCTACTAACCTTATACGTCATCCGTTGCATTTTTGATCAATTTTGGAGAGGAATGAAACAACAAATGCTCCCTTTTTATATGAGCTCAAATTGCCTATTCAAAAGGGGGTAGTTGAAGTAATTACCACACACAATGTGAATGAATTGAACAAGGAAAAACTACCGGAAACTGTATTGAATATTTTAAGTTTTCCTGCATTTCAATTGAATACGATTTTTCTAGAATTACCACAGCAAACGATTTTGGGTGCATGCGTGCGTTCTACTTCGGTGATAACGTATTCTCCACTCGAATAATTTTGGAGAAACTGACAAAAAATAATAAAAATTTGGAATTCACATATGAATCAAGCACATTTTTCTAGGAACGTGGTTTGAGGGTTGTTTTTGGAGCCCCTTTCACAGAACTGTGTACAGTGTACACATATGACTCATCATTTAAGCACACATATGACTTATTTCAAATACTCCTTTACTCCGTAAAAGAAACGTTTCTATTTTAATATCAATTTCTTCACATTTTAAACTATTTTTCCCAAATGACAAATACACGATGACAGCTAACACCATTTAATATGCCATTTTTCAAATATACCAACTTCTAAGTAAATGTAGAACGTAGCAGATAATGAACCAGTTGAACAAGTAATTTTTGTTTATTGTATTATAGTTAAACGACCAAATCGATCTAAACAAAAAAATGCGAATGAACATAAATGTCAACGAAATGATATGCATATATGTATAAAATATAATCATGCAATAAACAGGCCGACTCTCTTATGGTTTGAGTGCGTGACTCATGTATATAACTTCTTTTTTTTTCAGTTGTGCACCACTAATGAATTCGAATCGGCGTTTCATGCACAATTTTTGTCGGTAATTATACAAGGGTCTCTTTTGTTTTATTTCCCCAGACTTTATTTTTATTGTATATTCGAGTGTGTCCTTTGTCTCTGCGCTGCGTTCAACGAAATATTATATTGTTAAGTGATTTGTTTATTAATTTTTGTTCTTCAATTTTTTTACGGCCATATCGTTTATTGGTGCGTTTTATTGATATATTTATATATCCATATATTTTATTTGGTTTTATTCATTTCAGCAAATGCATCAAATTGCTTTTGTGTATAGTGATCGATTTATGGTTTATGTGTTGAACAAACAGCATTAAACAAAGGCGAAGTAAGCTTACCATTCGTCCATTTTGATGATTAAATAACCATTTAGATTCAAATAAAATGACAAATTCGCGATTATGATAAACTTCATAACACATTCGTGACTAACATTATGTTAAATACATTTTTTTCTCAAGTAAATAATCAATCGTTGTCAAACTACATTTTTTTTGTAAATGACTAGATTGTTTGAATCGGTGCAAAAAAAGCGAAAATTACCACATAATTCAAATTAACATTATGCATTCAAACAGATGCATTTAATGTATATTTTTGTCGCTGGGCGTCACCGTCGTCGAACGTAAAAGTCGAGTATCGTCTTCTGGTGCAAAGTGAATCGCCACTTTTGCCACATTATTAATTTCACGCAATATGCATTATAGCTCACGCACCCTTCCTTAACTACACACACTTGAACCTTTGTTGGTTTTTCTCACCCAAAGCAAAGAATTGAATTATTATTTTTTGATGTTGTTTGAATTGAATTTCCATAAAGTGTTTTCTTTTAATATTTAAAAAAAATATTCCATTTACATTATCCTGTGCCTTTTTGATATTGCCAATGTAATGCAAAAAAAAATTGAGCAGGTGCAACCTGCTGCGAATTTGACTCGCCGCATTGTTCATTTCAATTTATATTCATCAATTGTTGTGTGTATTCTTTAGATTTTCTTTTCTCATTATTTGTTCGTCGAAAATCATCGAAACAATTTGAAATGGGAATAAAATCAAGCGAACCAAATTAAATTTTTTATTGAAATCTGTATAAATGTGAAATCAAAAGAATCTCATAAAATCAGAAAAAGTGAAAATGGAGTTCACCCGTAATTGTTGTCGATAATACTATTACTTTTACATTTTACAAAAGTGGAATGTTTGGTATCGCATGCGGCTGTTGTTGGTCATTGACTGCAAACACATGACGCGACGACCATAGAACATGCCACCGTTTTGTTCGTTCGCATTCTTTTCATTTTTGTGTACTTATAAATGCCAACCGATGAATGCGTGCACGTTGTTGTTGTTATCAGTCACTGGTCTCGCCATAGATGGGCAAAGAATCGAACGAAACAGCAAGATAAAAACCGAATCAAAAGTTAAAGAAAAACCTTGTATGAAACATTGTTGTATAAAACGCGTAATTGCCATTCGAAAACATTTGTGTTGTTGCTCTTCGCAGCTACAAATAGTCAATGGATGAATCTGGCCAACGCTAGACGATACAAGAATTGTGAAAAAAACAAGTATTCGAAGAAAAAAGTAAATAACAATGCAAATAGCTCCTAATTAGTTAGCTCTGATGTTAGGTTATTATTACGTTTGTCGGTCCAAATCAAATAAACAGCGTGGAAACACACAGATATTCTTGTTCTCTTTTTTCTATCGAATACACATAAAATGATGAACGTTGCACGCAAACCATTTCACATATACACTTATAGAATAATGTTTCAGCAATGCAAACAATGTTAGAATCAAAACGATGTTGCGCTATTTTTTTCCTTTCTTTGTTCGATATTTTTTGCATTGCTAGCCAACGAATTATTCTAGTTAAAATCAACAAAGAAGAACAGAAATGCAACACGTTTAATTGATGTGTTTTCAAGTTGCATCAACAAGCTGTTAGTATTTCAAATTACGCAGAATTTTGAGTTAAAACCATTCTAGTTACATGGATATTCCAAGAAGAGATATTTATTGCGTATCAAAATGAATGTGATTTCAAGTGATTGTATTGTCAGCTTCCATATAATAATATTTGTTTTGTGTTTTCATTTCAGATAGTGCGACTCAAAGCACGTGTTCGGTCTTAATAAAGCATATTCTATTCAGACTTGTTTTTGTCTTGAACGGTCAATAAATTGAACGACAAAATGATAAAATTAATTTCATTGAATCATATTTGCATGGAATTATTTGGGCTTCTGCTTCTAATTATATCGGGTGCAAGCCCATTCACAACACATTTGATGGAACAACAGCAATTTGCAATGGAACCTCAAGATCAAGTGGCCGTCGTTGGTGCACGTGTAATTTTTCCATGTCGCGTACTCAATAAAAAGGGAATTTTACAATGGACTAAAGACGATTTTGGGCTGGGAACACGTAGACGTTTGTCAGCTTTCGAGCGATATTCCATGGTTGGTAGCGATGAAGAGGGCGACTATTCATTGAATATTTATCCAGTGACGCTAGAGGATGACGCAAAATATCAATGGTACTTATTAAATGTTTGCAAAATAATACTCACCTAGCAAATTTATCGAATATTTTTTTCTTCTCTTGCAATTTCAGTCAAGTTGGACCGGGACAAAATGGTGAGTTTTTTTTTATCCTTCACACTTGATCAATATAGAAATATGAATTTCACATTTGGCTTAACTTAATACTGTCAATTTGCCAACGATATTTTACGCTATTGGGATTATTTCTTCAAAATAAATGAAATGAAGCAAAAAAAAAACCAATCGAAAATAATCAAATGCGAACGAATGAATCATGTTCGAAGAAAGTGAAAAAATATCATTCAATTTCATTTTCTATATCATCAGCTGAAAATTCAAGACACTTATCATGTATGTCTCTATCTTTTTTTTTTGGTTTGCGGTATAAATACCTGTAGGTGAGCCCGGCATTCGTTCGAACTACGGCATTTTAAGTGTTTTAAAATCACCTGATCCACCGAAAATATTACAAGGCGATTATATGGTGACAACTGAAGACCGTGAAATTGAATTGGAATGCGTGTCGGAAAATGCAAAGCCCGCAGCTGAGGTATCCTACATATATACATCTAATAAATTTTCATTTTGATGGCGAAGCGAGATGCGATACGGCACCAACAGACAGTCGTATACATGAATCAAATTGTTGATGGTGTGACAAATGACAATATAAGCCGTATTCAAATATAAACAGAAATTTCAACGGAGCTCATACGGTTTCCTTGGCGAAAAATCGATTATATCAATTCATCGTCATTTAAGTTTACACTGTCAATCTGAATTCCGCATCTCGAAGAGCACATCAAGTTTTTTCTTAGTTGTCTTTTTTTATGCTCAAGTTCGACCATTTTTTCACATCAAATTCAATCTAACGTATCGTTTTCCCGTAAAACGTATCTATCAATTATATGCTAAAAATGTTTGCATTCTCTCTCTTTTCTATTTCGGACGCGGGCCCGCTCAATCAACACCACATCAAATGGTATGTAGATAACGTGGATTGATGGTTTTGGAAATGTTTTGACAGCGGGCGTTGAATATATAAAGGAGCCATCACCTGATAACCGACTATCAACAGCCAAATCCATTTTGAAGTTGAAAGCAAATGTAGCACTCCATAACAAAACAATTCACTGTCAGGCCCAAAATTTCGCTGAAAAAACGTATCGTTCAGCAAGCATACGATTAGAGGTGAGTACAACGCATATATAAATACATAGCTATAGTAATCCAATGCATATTCGACAGCTAAGAAGTATCAAAGAAACAGAGTAAAATCAGTTCATCGAAAAAACGATTTTCATAAATAGTTAGACATGTACATGATTCTTTTAAAGAGACGCAAAGATAATAAAAGTATTTCTTCGCGCATACTACGTAAGTTTAAGACATCAAAACACAGGCCATAGATTTGTTTATAAGACGAACTAATTTAAATCGAAAAAAAAAATAACATTTAATAATAATAATGAATGTTTTGATGTGAATGTAGGTGAAATATGCGCCGAAGGTGCGCATAGTATTCGTCGACGGAGCCTTGGATACTGGACGAATTCCAGTTGATAATGCGGTTCGATTAAGATGCAAAGCCGATGCATACCCCAATGAGCTGACATATCAATGGTATATCAACGACAGTATGGTTATCGACGCGACGTTTAGTGATCTGGTAAATGCTCTCCCTATCATTTTCAAAATTGCTCAAATTGGTACAACATAAAATACTTTCCTCACATCATTTTTTTTCGCTAATGTTCACGTTTTTTATGACAGTAATAATCGCCGTCAATTTTTATTATTCTAACAAGATTCCCGTTTTTTTTTATTTTCGTTTCCAGGAAATATCGACCGTAACGCGAAAACATCAAAATTTTGTCGTAAAATGTGAAGCACAAAACGTAGTTGGATTAAGTGCCGCCACAGAGACATTAGACGTAATCTGTATGTGTACCACATTTTTCTTATTCTCATTCCATCATCAAACCCCCTCATTACATCCAACTCACATTAAATGCATTACCGAATATTTATAGCTTCAAGCAAGTTTCTATGCTTTCCTAAAACCCCTGTTCTTTTCTATTTCATGGTTGTGCCCACATGTATGCTTTTTTTTTAAAACACATGCCGTGCATAGATCCACCAAGCTTTATCGAACGGCCGCAAAATGTTGAAACAGAGATGGGTGAAAATATAACAATGAGCTGTCACGTCGATTCAAATCCAAAGGCTGACATAATTTGGGTGTTTGATCCCATCGATCGCGTGAGTTAAAATTTCACTTTGACATTTTTTATTATTCTATTTTTTCATTTAAAAAAAAAATCATGATCGAATCATGGTATCAATTCAATAATAATGAAGCATTTTTCATTTCATTCTATTCGCGGTCCGTCGTATGCAGATTAATTTTCAACCTCGAGTGGTGGGTACATCTTCGGAATTATATGTGATTGCGTCAAATGAAACAGCTGGACGTTACTATTGCAAGGCACATAGCAGTGGTTTTCCGGAGATTAGTTCGGAGGCATTGATCATATTGAAAGGGCCACCGAAAATAATATCACACCCCGAACAACATCCACTCGATGGTGAAACATATGAAATCGAATGTGTGGCCATTTCGGTGCCAAAGGCAAAACATGTATCATGGGCATTTAATGGCGTTTTAATCGATACTGACAAAGATTTGGGATTCTCATTACGACAAGATGTACTGTATGACCGTATTAAATCAACGCTACGCATTGTAGAGAATCATCGTAAATACTTCGGAACGTATAGTTGTACGGTCATTAATAAATATGGATCGGATACTCTTAATATTGTTTTCAGCGAACGTAGTGAGTATTAAACGAGAGAATTCTAAATAGAATTGTTTTCAAGATTGAGTACTAAGATTGTTTTTTATTTGAATAGCTTTTAATCGGATCATCGTTTTTAAAAATCTTTCTACAGGAAAATTACCGATTATTATAATTGCATCCGGCTCATTCGCTATCTCGCTGTTAATCATTGCCATTTGTTTCTCAATCTGTTGTTGCATTCGTGGAAGCAGAAACAGTGGCAAAAAACGTGAGCTTCCGCCAGCCGACATTATACCAAAGGTTAACATTTTCTCTTTTCTTTCTTCTGATTGTTTGTAATGAATGTATGTTTTACCCCTTTTTGTTTTCTCTTTTTTGCATACTCTTTGGTCGTAAATGCTGTAATTCAATTACCCACACATAAACATAAACATAATCCAGGTGAATCAACAGCCAAAGGTGAAAACAGATTCTTTAAAGAAAAAGAATCTATCGAAAACCGAAATACCTGTCGCTGTCGCAGTTGAGCCTGAATATCAAGAAAGCAATTCGGGTTCATATAGCACGACGACAACGCTATCAATGAACAAAACTGATTTCCTTGGCAGCAAATTGCTATCGATTCCTCCAACAATTAGGTGAGTCATTTTCCCCTTTCCTTTTTTCAACTATTCACAAAAAGAGCAGAAAGACATTTTCTGCACGAATCTACTGTCGACATTGATATACTTGAAAAAAGACAGCTATTTTTACGTATTGGAAAAATGTTTCGGTTATTCTTGCAGGTATTCTGGTTTGCAGCTGCCGGAAGGTTTCAGCGATTCAACAAGTCAATCGATAACTGGTAGCTATGTAGATTTTTCTCGCGATTTTTATTCGCCAAGTATACAAAATGCAAACAATTTCCTCATACAAAGCACATTACAACGTGGAGAGACTCCGACGTATGTGTAAGCCTCTTACACGCTGTTATATTGCGCCCAATATTTTTATTCACATATTTTTAGCAATTCTTATGATAGTTAGAACTTATTTAGTTCCATGTATCTTATTCTATAAGTGAGTTCAAAGTTTCGATAAAAATTCCATACGTTATTTTGGTAATAGTAATTAATAACTTTTTAAGCTGGATTTTAAGTTTAAGAGTGAAAAGTGGCTGGTACAAAAATTGATACATTTTCGCCGGCAAGTCTTAAAGTCTTGCGGAAATTATTCTATAGTAAGCAGGTGATTTTTACAAAGCCAAATTGCACCAACCTTCAATTTAAGTGTAAAAAGATTCTGTGATATAAATTAACATAGAGAACGAGGAACTTTTCACTAGAAAACTATTGTGTATTTGTTGTTAAAATTTGGATTAATTAAATTATAACACAAATATTTTTGGCCAAAAATTAGAACATTTCGCACGATCGTGCAGTTTAGATGAATTTATATATCAGCTTTCCATAATTCATGAATTCAACATTTTAGTTGAAATAATCGTTCCAGAGAGATATTTCATTCCAAATTTCAATCAGCAGAAATAAATATATTTAAAAAAAAAACAAATCTGTGATATAGATACTCTATCATCTCTAATATGTAAATAGTTTTCAATTTCGACTCTCAGATTCTCCATTTTCTTTTTCCTTTCAATTCTTGACGTAATAATGATTTTAAATTTAACACATACTTCCGAGCCACGATTCACACACATAAACATGAACACAATTCACATCTGTGAGAAAATTTTGAAAAAATCGCACACAAACACAATATCATATTCAACGATATAATGAAAAATTCGCATTCAATACAATTCAATTGAAATAAGGTGTCAATGGCAACATATTATTTATGGCAATCGTTTATCAACTACACCTTTGAAGAATCGAATCTCGTATAATAATAATCTATTCTATCTAATTGTTGAATCAATTATGATGTGGATGTGTTAAGCCTTCCTTCTATACATAATTTTTAATAACCACACAAGCATTGATCGAGTTAAGCATCCTGCAAACAAAAATTCATGCCATTGATTGAATAAAATGTTAAGTTGCAATGTCGCAGAAATTGTGCATCACCCCAAAACTATTTTCTTCTATATTATCTTACTTATTATAGGGCTTTATTCTGGCGGTTTTGAACAATTTAAGATAATTCCATATTATTACGAAAGGATGTTCGTAGAGCTAAATAGTTTATGAATTAGGAAATTTTCACACACTCGCGCATGGATAAGTGTAATATTAATTTAATATTTACATATAATAATAATAGACATAATTGTAGCTAAATGCCACTGTACTAACATTGAAAGTAAGTCGTTCGCAAACGGATTTGTGGAGTCGCTTTGTGTGTATGCAACATAGTTCCGTGATGAATACAACGAAATCATAAAAAAGTCATTTTCGATGAATCAGCACACATTGACACAGTATGTTGTAGGCGGTGTATGCAATTTACAACATTCTTTTTCAAATGACTGCTGCGGATAGTATTTCGTACAACGATGTCATTGATGAAACATCGACGGGAAGAGGAATTCACTGACACAAACAACAGTATTTTTGTAGTTGTTAAGTTTTCAAACGAGAGATTAGTTTCTGTAACAAGTTTCTTATTCTTTAGATCGTATCTTATCATTAAGAGTACATGGTAGCTAGGATCTGATAAATAAATAAAACTGAAAAACATGTAAAAATACAATAATTTTTGTTTTGTTTTCTTTGGTGTTAATAGACACCGCATCAAGACAGATTACATGCCAAACGTCATTAGTGACTGAACACAAACATAATATGTTTAACATATTCATTCTACTTAGGTAAGCTAATTATTTTAAATTGATTGATAGCACACATCCAAACTCTTCGAGAGAAGTCTAAAATTTCGATAATATTCTAGATGAAAAATGATTGATTTTGTTATCGTAAAATAAAGTACTTTCTGTTCCGTGTATTCGTACTTTAATTTGGCAACACTGAAAATGTTTGTTTCACAACCAAATAACTGGTTCGGAGCCGATAGACATCTGGATATTTCCGCTTGTAAATGTAAAATAAGAAAGGAAAATGGTAAAACTAAGCGCGGTCATCGCAAAGCATGACGATAAGGCAAAATTGCTTGCCAGCGCCACCAAATGACTCCATATGATTCTATATAGTTCTGCGGTTGCCAGCGGTACTAATCTCTAATAGAGCGTTGCCGAGCTGTCATTATCATCGTGCTTTGGGTCATCGAATGTAATGTTGAGTTTTGCAGGCATCAATTTCACACCAAATATCGGGTGCATTGAATATTGAATAATCGAAAACTTCTATGAAATCACTTTCTACGTGTTTTCATTCAATTTTTCGCATGTGTAACGTGACACCCAACTCTTCCACTAAAAATTTGCTATACGCAGAGGATGAAATGGTAGCACACTTTTGTACGTTTATACTAAACTTTCTACTCTGATTTTCACTCAGGTGTTGATGTATTCAATTCCGATTATAAGATTAGTGCAATGTAAAAAGCACTTAAACCAAGGGTGCGTATGAGTGTGTTGATTTTGTATGGCTTCAGAGTTTCACTGTTTACTTTTTTGATATATCTTTTTCACTTTATTTTTGTTTGAGGGAAACAAAAATCCTTTATAAATAATATCAGAGCGATCAATTTAAGCAGCACTAAAATAGCATTGAACATATTGTTATTTTACAGTATTGTAACGGGAAGTGTCTATATCTTGACAATTTCATTTTAAAATACCTCCCTATATCTCAGGCATGAAATCTCTTCATGGACGTATAAATTAGAAACATTATAAAATCAATACAAAACTCTTTGACAATTCATGATTTTATTTCACCTCCTTTGCAACGTGATGAAAGTGTTTCATTTCGGATTTGCTTGCTGGATTCGTATAAAATACATAAAAAAGAGCGGTATTTTATACTACAATTACGTCTGTATATTTGTCTGGAAATTAAAAACTGTTTTCTATCGACCAAATAGTATTAGTTGTACGTATCATAGTGGTAAGAGTAAAAGATGGAAATGTTGAATGTAAAAAATGTACAAAGTTAGGACGAGATGAATACATATATGCATGTGTATGTGAACAAAGTTTATCAATCAATTGAACACAAAGGATTTTATTTAGCTCGTGGTTTCGACTTTTTGGTGTCAACACCAACAACTTGATTGAAAAAGAACTTCAATATCCTTTACATTAGTTCTCTTTGAAAAATGATTAAATTATGTCAACCATATTGATGTTACACATTTGTTTTGTTTTTAAAGCTTCACTATTAAAACTACATTCAAGTTGATCAGTTTGAATGAAAATAGAAATAGTTTTTGTTCTTTTTTTAACATGTGGTGAGTGTTTCGCATAAATTACGATGTCTTATGCTGAGACATTTGCTGTACGTTTTTTTACCCTCGATTTTTCTTATCTTTGCAACAAATTGAAAGGAAATTGCACTTAGTGTGCATCAGAAGAAAATATTAAGTAGTTATTAGACGTTTTTCGTAGGTTTAATTAATCATCCCATATCCAGTTTAATACCAAAAAAACGAAAAAAGGACACCATAAACGTTTTTATTTTGTGTGCACAATAGCATTAACCAACAAAAAATAATGTAGCATGTTCCGGAGCAATTATTCTCTATAGAAAACCACTTGCGAAAAATGACGATATGTGTATTATAATGATGCGTCGCGGTGATAATCAAATTGCGATACATTATGATACTTGTACGCTGATGTTTCACACAAAAAATGGCGGAAAGAATAAAGTGTCTGAAAACCGAGTGGCACGACATAAGTTATAAATGTAACAGCAGTGAAAGAGTATGTAACTCATCACAGAAAAAAATGATTTTATTTAAAAGTAAGTGAACAACAAAAATAACGAAAAAAGCGGTAACATAACAAACCTAGAAGCAAACATTCGAGCAAAGTGAAAACTTTAACAGAAGTGAAATGTGAGACTTTACTTCGTATATAAAATATATGTATAGATACAACGAGCATGGATGAAAACGGTGACAAGGATGGTGCTTAAAAGTCAGCCGCTATAATGATGCTCAAAAGTTTTTGTTTATTTTCATAAAAATGTCAACACTTGAGAAAGAAAAGAAAGGCGCGGAATAATCAATGATAGATGTTGATGAATGCCATGAAAAGATACGACGATAATGCGTTAGTATAGCATAAAGAATTCAACTAAGTTGAACTAGACCGATCTTTTGGTTGCAATATTCGATTTTCTGGAAGAAACAAAAAAAATAGCAATTTCGATGTGAAATTTAAAAAGAATCAAATTTCTACACACTGGAATATTTAGTGAAAATTATGTTAAATATCAAAATAATCAAATTAATGAGTCATGGGAAGTTTAGACAAAATACTTATTTTCACTCGAATGCGTTTACAATTTGTGATTGAATTGTGCTTGTATCGCTAGTTGTATCGAAAGAAATTGTGCTAACTATGTTAGTTACTTCCATTGTCTTCATTTTCATTCATACACTTCTCAGGAAATTGATGATTGCAGACAACAATACATAAATTCATCGCACATTCAGGCGACTTTCTGCCATTTTATTTTAGTATCATTTATTCTCTGGAACACTCATCTACACCTCTGATTCTTTTCATTTTTTCCACAGCTCACCAGTAAACCTTTTAATATTGTGAGACGTCGATTTTTTTTACCTTTAAGGGGGCAAAATCGCGTTGACAATTCAAGGGTTTTCTTTTAGAGGCAATTTTTTTAGAGGGTGGTCACTATGGAAACAAAAAATGTTTGCCTTGTTAAGGACTACTTTTGCCAAGACTGCAATCGATCATCTCTATTCGATTACGACATTTCGTTGTGTTCAGTTCATATGAGATCCCTCAAAACACCTATGGCCATAAAACCCTAAATATCAATTTGGGGAAAAATGCTTCAATTTTTAGTTCAATTTTTTGGCCCCTTCACCGATTCTATACAAAAAAAATTGAAAATCGCCGTCTCACATATTGAAAGGTTTACTGGCCAGTTCATTTTTGATTGGAGTACGGGCACTACAACTATTGTATACGTAGCTTTTCACTAAAAAACGGAATACAAGACTGCCATATTCAGTTTAGAGTCCTTCAAAAAGCTTCGTAATAATTTATGTTATTTTTTTCTGATTGCTCTTTTCAACGCACCTTTTTCCATCACATGCTCTTTGAAGAGACGACTTTACATTGTTTATTTGTTTCTTTCTCCATTGTTAAAATATCATCTGTTGTGTGTGATGATTGTTGTTGCGTCTGAAGAGAGATTCGAAAAAAAACCATGATTACTTTTCATGTCATCATTTGATATCATTTCCTTTTCAGAATGTCATCTCCGCCGTTTTTATGTGACCTCAGTTCAATGAAAAATTCTGCTCCACTTATATTTACACCCATTTCCGTCGAATTCAATGGCATGGTGAATGGTAATCCAAAGGAGCTCACACAAAATACAAAAATAAATATTCCAGTATAGCGATTGTGATTTATTGAGTTATGGAATAATGTTTGGGTCTGGTCAATATTACTACCTCTCAAAGCAGTACTATAGTACTGTATATTAATAGACAGTAATAATGCTCAACAGAGAAATGCTCGTAGTCGTTCTATAAAACACCACTAGAATTCGCAAAAATATCAAATAAAGTTTTCTGTGTGTAGCGACTTTTAAAATTGAAATGAAAGTCTTCGCCAATGCAAATGATTTATGATAAAATCTTGAAGAATTTGTCATTCATTTGTTTTCGTAATGTGCTTGCTGTTTGTTTACAAAGCTCACTTTCCGAACAAAAAAAAACGAATGATATACGGAGCGATTTATTCATTTTTTTCATGTTCTGGCTCTGTTTTCTATTTAAAAAAATCTTTTCAATTTTGCAGTGTCATCTTGTGTGTGTGGTATGTGCTTTTGTTCAGGTATCGTTCATTCAATGGTTTTGCATAATTTTCCCTACATTCATTAGCATTGAATAGGGAATGTCGTTCATATTGCAACGTACACAATGAAATGAAAAAGCACAACTCATACACTTTCTTGTTCCGCTTGTCATTTTTCAAAGTAAAATAAAAATTGGCATGATAGTGGACAAGCACATCCGGTGCATTATTCACTCAACTCCTCATTGAATATTAATTCATTTTTCATTTTTCGAACAAATGCCAGCCAGTTTAGATGAGTCAGTTTCATTAAATGTAAAAACGATAGGAAAAGAATTAAAACATGAAAGAATTTTGGACAAATTTTTTTTGTGTTCAATTCCAAAAAAATCAGTTCAGACTTGTATGTGTTGTACACACATGATGTGAGTTTCGAAGTGTACTGTATAAAATACCGAATGACTTTTCATTAAACGCTCTCATGTAAATAGATGCTTAAAGAAAAATAAGAAGTAATCAACAAATATTATTTACATAAAGATGGTTGTTTTGATTTTTTTCCTCTCAACATCTGATTCCTTTGATTTAAAAAAGCAACAATTAGCAGCGAAAACAAATTTCAAGTGGACTTTAATGTCATATTTAACATTTATTCGAATTGTCCAAGTGCCACAAAGGTCATACAATTCGTTGCAAAGTTCGTCAATTATCTTGAATTGTGTAGTCGTATTTTGAAATTAAT